TCCTGGGGAAGGGCTGGTGTTTTCGGTTGCATACAGGATAGTTGTATCATGTTAGATGTAAGTATGGCTTTGTTATTGTGTATATTTGGAAATGAAGCATGGTTCAAGAATATCAATGAGGAAAATTAAAATTCTTCCATGATTTCAAAAACATTTTTCTTTTCTTTTTTTTTCTGAGATGGAGTCTCGCTCTGTCACCAGGGTGGAGTGCAGTGGCGCAATCTTGGCTCACTGCAACCTCCACTTCCTGGGTTCAAGCAATTCTCCCGTCTCAGCCTCCTGAGTAGCTGGGATTACAGGCATGCACCACCATGCCCAGCTAATTTTTGTATTTTTAGTAGAGACAGAGTTCCACCATGTTGGCCAGGCTTGTTTTAAACTCCTGACTTCAGGTAATCTGCCCACCTTGGCTTCCCAAAGTGCTAGGATTACAGGCGTGAGCCACTGCACCTGGCTGACTCCCTCCTTTTAAAGCAAGGCAGGAGCAGAGTCTGGGTGAGTTTTGTCCCTGGCACGGGTGCCCGTGCAGACCGTCATTCTGTCTACCATGGGTACCATGGGATGTGAATCCCGGGTTAAGGCTTGGCTGAAATTTCTCCTCTCCAGTAAGTCTTCTCTGGTTACCCTAGCCCATCAGGCTAGGCACTGGTACATTGTGGGGTGGTCCCTTGAGTTACACATTGCTGACGGCCATCTACCCTCCAGCGTCCTTCAGTCTCCTGCCCATGTAGCCAACGGTCACCGTGCCCTGCTATGTGCTTGGTCCCCAGCCAGGCACTGGGCCACTGGAGACGGTGCTGGCACCTCCACAGCCCAGAGAATTGGGACCTCTGTGTCATGGGTTGAATTGTCTTCCCCCTCCAAATTCATGTCTTGAAGTCCTAAACCCCAGCATCCCAGAATGTGAACTTATTTGAAAATAGGGACAGGGTGTGGTGGCTCATGCCTGTAATCCCAGCACTTTGGGAGGCCAAGGTGGGCAGATCGTGAGGTCATGAGTTCAAGACCAGACTGGCAAACATGGTGAAATTCCATCTCTACTAAAAAACACAAAAAATTAGCTAGGCGTGATGGCTTGTGCCTGTAACCCCAGCTACTTGGGAGGCTGAGGTAGGAGAATTGCTTGAACCAGGACCCAGGAGGTGGAGGTTGCAGTGAGCCGAGGCTGCACCACTGTACTCCAGCCTGGGCTATAGAACGAGACTTTATCTCAAAAAAAAAAAAAAAAAATTGAAATTATGGTCATTGCTGATGTAATTAGCTAAAATGAGGTCATCAGGGTTGGCCCTAATCCAGTATGACTGGTGTCTTCATAAAAGGGGGAAATTTGGACAGAGATGGACATGCACGCAGGGAGAACGTCACATGAAGGTGAAGGCAGAGGTCGGCTGTTACTTTTACAAGCCAAGGAGCACCAAAGGTTGCCAGAAGCCAGGAGAGCCTGAACTGAGTCTTCCTCACAGTCCTCAGGAGTCAGTGTTGCCAACACCTTCATCTTGGACTTGGAGCCTCCAGAACTGAGACCACACATTCCTGTTGTGCAAGCCTCCAAGTCTGTGGTACTTTGTTAGGGTGGCCGTAGCAAATTCATACACTCTGATAGGAGAAGGAAGCCTGTGTGTTTCCTGATACTGACTGGGAGGGTAGGAAGGGCTTCCTAGAGGAGGAGATGCTGAGCTGGGCTTTCATGGCTGGGTAGGAGTGTATCAGGCAAGAACATTACAGGCAGAGCAAAGGACATATGCTAACCCCAGGAGGCACAGTGTACATCAGGGACTCTTCCTTGAATTCTTCTTTTTTTTTTTTTTGAGACGGAATCTTGCCCTGTGACCTAGGCTGAAGTACAGTGGCATGATCTTGGCTCACTGCAACCTCCGCCTCCCAGATTCAAGCGATTCTCCTGCCTCAGCCTCCTGAGTAGCTGGGACTACAGGAGTGCACCACCAAGACCAGCTAATTTTTGTATTTTTAGTAGAGATGGGGTTTCACCATGTTGGCCAGGCTGGTCTCAAACTCCTGATTTCAAGTTATCCACCTGTCTCAGCCTCCCAAAGTGCTGGGATTACAGGCGTAAGCAAACGTGCCCTGCTTTTTCTTTCTTTCTTTTTTTTCTTTGAGATGGATTCTCACCCTGTCACCCAGGCTGGAGTCCAGTGGTGCGATCTCAGCAGACTGCAACTTCCGCATCCCAGGTTCAAGTGATTCCCCCATTTCAGCCTCCCGAGTAGCTGGGATTACAGGTGTGCACCATCACACCTGGCTAATTTTCGTATTTTTAGTAGAGCCAGGGTTTTACCACGTTGGTTAGGCTGGTCTCAAACTGCTGACCTCAGGTGATCCATGTGCCTCGGCCTCCCAAAATGCTGGGATTACAGGCGTGAGTCACCACACCTGGCCCTCCCTGAACCTTTCTTTGACTTTCCCTACTGCCTTCCCTGCCCAAGCATCTGAGACCTGGAAACTCCCTTGCTCGAAGATAACAGAGAAATTATTTTTACCAGGAGGCCTCTTGGATCCAGGTGGTGATGTGCATTATTCTCACCAGCAGGGGGTGCTCACACAATCGTGCATGAAGGAAGGGTGGCCGGGGCACAGGTACTGAGTAATCTTCTGGCGTTTGTCAGGGTCCAAGGCTCCTGCTCTTGGGGGCAGGTGCACCAAGCCCTGAAGAGGCTAGGGTGGGCAACCCTGTGCCAGCCTCACAGGACATACAGCATCCTGGGAGGACAGATACCCAGACACATGGCCCTCTGTACAAGTATTTTATTTCAATTACAATAGTGCCACACCAAAACTACAGTAGCACAAAACATCATAATACAAAAAATAGATTCCCAGCTCCCAACCCCATGTCCACGCACCCACAGAGAAGCTGGCCTAAGGGGAGGGGTCTCACTTTATCTTCCTTAAAGCTCTGGAGTGGGTAGTGGCAGTGGCGGGGCGTCCATCCCTGCTGGGCCTGAGCCCTCTTCTCTCCTCGCTCCCTGCCAGCCGCAGCAGACCTGAGCCATGAGTGCAGTCTCCATCCCCTCAGGTTGCACTCCCAGCCCTGGGACACCTGCCTCTGTCCAGGGACTCCAAGCCCACGGTGCTGATGCTGCAGGACCTTCTCCCTCCACGTGGAAGGCAGGAGGGCTTGTGGCGGGGAGGCAGAGGACGCCATGGGTGGAAGAAGCCCGCCTCCATGTGGCAAGGACACAGCAGCCAGCTCCTGCTCCAGCTCCAGCTCCTTCTAGGGTTTCTGTCTCCTCTGCAAAGCTACCGGGACTGCCACATGCTGGGACCAGGGCCTCCATCTGGAATCCACTCTCGACACCCTGCACCAACTTGGAGGCTGACCCCAAGGTGGCAGGGCTGTCCCTGTGCTCTCTGCTTCCTCTTGGGCAGGAGGATTCCAGCTTCTCAGGTGAGGGGAGGGCACTGTCCAGGCAGGGCTGGGCCAGGGGGCCTGGGCTGCTGAGGTGGGAAAACCTCAGCTGTGGAGGGCATGTACCGCCTTGCCTCTGTCCCGTGGCCTGGCTTTCCCACTGGACAGCAGTGGCCGCTCCAGGTGCTTCCACTTGGTGGAGCCCATGAATCTGCTGTTGGAGAAGCTGTGTCGCAGGGAGGGGACAGACACCATAGGCCAGAGCGGGTTGAGGAAACTTCCCCTTACAACATCCCCTGGCTAAAAGCATCGCTCAAAGGAGAGTCCATCCATCTAGCTATTAAGCAATGTCTTGACTCAACCCAGAGATGGATATGGATGGCAGCCCAGGATGAGTCCAGCGGTTCCACAGCCTCCCGAAGCCCGGTGTTACGGACCTGCAGGCCAGAGCTCATGGGCAGCCGTGGGGGGCAGCCCTGCAGGCACTGGGGGAATGGGACTACGGCCTATGTTTCCATCAGGACACCTGGGGGCTGCACTGAGGAGCCAAGGGGCATCTAGGGGCTGGGGCTGCCTCCTGGGGGTGAAGACTGGGGGCTGCAGCCTCAGATAAGGCACTAGAGGACCGGTCCCAGGAGCCAGGCCCAGCCATGTGATGGATGATGGTGTTCAGAGGAAAGATTTAGGTCCCGCAGGAGGTGAGAGCTGTTTTTTTTTTCTTTTTTTTTTGAGACGGACTCTCACTCTGTTGCCCAGGCTGGAGTGCAGTGGCACAATCTCAGCTCACTGCAACCTCTGCCTCCTGAGTTCAAGCAATTCTCTTGCCTCAGCCTCCTGAGTAGCTGGAATTACAGGTGCCCACCACCATTCCTATTTTTTTTTGTATTTTTAGCAGAGATGGCATTTCACCACATTGGCCAGGCTGGTCTCAAACTCCTGACCTCAAGTGATCCACCCGTCTCAGCCTCTCAAAGTGCTGAGATTACAGGAGTGAACCACCACATCTGGTCTGTTTTCTCTTTTCTCCTTTCTCTGGAGAAGAGGGTTGGCCAGATAGACTCTGGCGTGGCTGGGCTGGGGGACTGCTGCAGAGAGGTAACTGGCCCCTGAGATGGACATGGGACAGCCCGAAAATGTGGGGCCAAGAGGGAGACACCTGTGGCCAGCAGTGTAACTCCGATGGAGTCTCACCCCGCAGGGCTCCTGCAGTCTGGATTCAGGGTGCTTGGTGCTCCCAGGTAGTTTTTGAGGGTCCTGACCTGGCCTCATTCTGCCATAGCCATCAGTCCCCTGCTGTGGCTTTGGGGATCAGAACTTCCCTGCTAGGGCTCCCACTGTTGGAGTCGGGACAGGGGCAGGCTAGCTGAAGGGGCAGTGCCCACGAGCTGGGCCCCCAGAGCTGGCTCTTCCCTCTGCCTGGCCTCCACACTTCTACTGGTCTCCACGCCTCTGCATGAGGTGACAGGAGCTGAAGTCACACATCCCAAGGGCTGAGGCAGCTCTCCGATTCGGAGACTTGCTCTGTGGCCCAAGGCTCCCTGCCTCAGCCCAGCCTCACAGTGAGTGGGGAAGAGAGAGAGTAAGTCAGCGGGGTTTCCCTTGTCCACAGGTTATTTAGAAAAACAGAACATAATAAATATACCAATTCTTTCCTTTAAAAAAAAAGTGTTTTAAATGCATTTTTCCCTGAAGATTTCCAGTGTATTCCGCAATGTTTAAAAAATAGTTTCCCCAAAAATATATCTTGAAAGCATTTGACACAGTGGTATTTGTGGTGTATCTGGCGCTTGTTAGCATGGGGCCCAGGCCTGATAAGCCACCAGCCTGACACCCGAATGCCCGCTGAAGGTGGCGCACGTGTGTGCCTGGGATGTCCATGTCTTCAAAGGGGATCAGATCAAGGGTCATGTTGAGAGCCAACACTACGGGCTCCATTCTGGCTGAAAACCCTCCAGTGCGGGGAAGCGGGGCCCTGGGTGGCCAAGCGGGCTGAGTAATGCCCTGGAGGCTGGACGGGGGGCTCATCCTCAGCCCCTCCATCTTGGCTGTCTCCGCTTCATCCTTACCAGACTTCGCATTTGTGAGGAGGGTTCATGGGTGAGCCAGCTGGGCAGCGGAAGTGTTCTGAGAACTCCTTGGAATTGGAGAGGGAGCCGATGACCCGAAAGCGAGAGGGGCTGTGGGGATCGGTGATGAGGCCTTCGTGGGAGCTCTCGGGTGTGCGGACGGAGCACCAGACCTTTGAAGGGCAACGGGGAGAGGTCAGGGTCACTGCGGGGCCCTGGAGCTGCCACATCACCCCGATTACAATAGCGGGGAGGCCAGGTGCAGTGGCTCACACCTGTAATCCCAGCACTTTGGGAGCCAAGGTGGGAGGGCTTCTTGAGCCCAGGAGTTCATGAACACCTTGGGGGACATGGCAAGACCCCATCTCTACAAAACATTTTTAAAATATCCATTAACTAGGTGTGGTGGTGCGTGCCTATGGTCCCAGTTCCTGGAGAGGCTGAGGTGGGAGGATCACTGCATTGGGGAAGTCGAGGCTGCAGTGAGCTGAGATTGCGCCACTGCATTCCAGCCTCGGTGACAGAGTGGGATCCTGTCTCAAAAAACAAAACAAGGCTGGGCGTGGTGGCACATGCCTGTAATCCCAGCACTTTGGCAGGCAAAGGCAGGTGGATTGTTTGTGACCAGGTGTTTGAGACCAGCCTGGCCAACATGGCAAAACCCATCTCTGCTAAAAATACAAAAATTAGTTGGGCGTGGTGGTGCGTGCCTATAATCCCAGCGACCTGGGAGGCTGAGGCAGGAGAATTGCTTGAACCCAGGACACGGGGGTTGCAGCGAGCCAAGATCAAGCCATTGCACTCCAGCCCGGGTGACAGAGGGAGAATCTGTCTCCAAAAAAACAAAACCCAGAAAATACAATAGCAGGGGAATGAGCCTCCACCTGATCCTGAGATCCCAGGGAGTCAGGAGGACTCCCTGAGTGGCTTGGGAAGAGAGAGTGGGCTGTGTAGGGTGGGCATGTGCCACCCCCATGCCCACGGCCTCTAACACAGCTGTCTCCAAACTGTTCTCCTCTGGCCAGTGCAGCATCTCTATCTGAGGCACCTGCATTTGATTCCATCTGAACAAAGGACTGTGTCCAAACACCAGTTGGAAAAGCCTGGATTTAGTCCAGATATCTCATTTCCTGGGCAGAACAAATTGTCTAATGGCCTGGTAGCTCTGAGTGCCAGGAGAAGGCTACCAGCTGAATGCCAACTGACAGGATGACCTGGGGCATCGTTTTTTTTTTTTTTTTTTTGAGACAGAATCTTGCTATGTATCCCAGGCTGGAGTGTAGTAGCATGATCTTGGTTCAGTGCAACCTCTGCTTCTGGGTTCAAGTGATTCTCGTGCCTCAGCCTCCTGAGTAGCTGGGACTACAGGTGGCCACCACCATGCCTGGCTATTTTTTTTGTATTTTTTCATAGAGATAGGGTTTCGCTATGTTGACCAGGCTGGTCTCGAACTCCTAACCTCGGGTGATCTGCTTGTCCTGGCTGCCCAAAGTGCTGGGATTACAGGTGTGAGCCACTGTGCCTGGCCAGGCATCTTAAGTTTAAGAAATCTCCGCCAGGCACAGTGGCTCACGCTTGTAATCCCAGCACTTTGGGAGGCTGAGGTGGGCAGATCACCTGAGGTCAGGAGTTTGAGACCAGCCTGGCCAACATGGTGAAACCCTGTCTCTACTAAAAATACAAAAATTAGCCAGGGGTGGTGGTGGGTGCCTGTAATCCCAGCTACTCAGGAGGCTGAGACAGGAGAATCGCTTGAACCCAGAAGGCGGAGGTTGCAGTGAGCCGAGACCACGCCGTTGTACTCCAGCCTGGGCAACAAGAGTGAAACTCCATCTCAAAAAAAAAGAGAAAAAAAAGAAATCTCTAGAACCCTCGAGCCAGAAGAGCCCTGAGTGGTCACCTCAACCTCTCATTCACCAGATCCAGGAATCCCTTCATTAGTACTCCTGGCCCTTCTGTGCATCTCTCTAATGACAGGGCAGATACACTGTGCACAGTCCAGTAAGTTAGGACGTTCTCAATCTGTAAGGAACTTGCCTTTTGGCTCTCTGGGCTCTTGAAACATCGAGATGGCAGCATGTACCATGTGTGGCATGGTTTCCTAATGGACTCACCTGTGCAAAGCCCAGGAAGAAGAGCTGGTTATTGGTGAGGCCCAGGGTGGGCAGCGTCTGCTCAGCCCCGTTCTTCTTCACCCAGTTCTGGTAGGCCTGGGAGGAGAGAACACCAAAGCTCAGGGTTCCCATGGCAGGTGGTGAAGGAGGGGACAGGTATGGAGGTCTCAGGGAGCTCCCCCATGTTGGGGCAGGGATCAGTTTCTGGAGATCTGGGCCTGGGCTCAGCCTAGGGAAGCCCTCTTCTTGATCTGCACTCATTCAGCCCTATGGCTTCAAATACCTTCTGTGCACTGATGGCTCTCACATTTATACCTTCAGCTCCAGCCTCTTCCCTGAGGTATATATTCAACTGTGCCAGCTGGACAGCCAAGATGCAGCTCAAACTTAGCATGGCACAAATAGAACGACAGGACCCACACACATACACACACACACACACACACACACACACACACACACACAGACACACACAGACACAGACATACACACAGACACACACACACACACAGATACAGACACACACACACACAGACACATATAGATACACACACACGGAGACACACACAGACACAGACACACACAGACACACACAGTCACAGACACACACACACACAGACACACATACACACAGACACATACAGAGACACACACACAGAGACACATACAGATACACACACACAGACACAGACAGACATACACACAGACACAGACATACACACAGACACAAACACACACACAGATACAGAGACACACAGAGACACATACAGATACACACACACAGACACACACAGAGACACACAGATACACACAGACACACAGATTCACATAGACACACACACACAGATGCACAGACACACACAGTTGCACACACACAGACACACACAGATGCACACGCAGACACACAGACACACACACAGATGCACACACACAGAGATGCACACACAGAGACACACACACACACAGAGACACATACAGACACACAGACACACACACACACAGACACACACACACACACACACACACACACTTCTTTCCCTAACACAGTCTTAATGGTACCACTATCCATCATCAGGGCACACACACAGACACACATTCCCCATCATAGTCAACGGTACCACCATCCATTGTCCCAGGCCCCAAACCCAGAATGCTGCTTCAATTCTTCTCTTTTTCTCAGACCAAACACTGACCACTGCTCCCCTTTCACATTGGTCTACCCCATCTCTTGCCTCGACAGCCTCACAACAGATTTCCAGTCTTCTGACTTAGGCTGATTCAATTCCATACCCCGCCTGGCAAAGCAACTTCAGTGAACCTCAGGAGGCAGGTGCCGGCAAACCTTTTCTGTGGAGGGCCAGAGGGTGAGTGCATTGGGCTTTGTGGGCTACCGGTCATCGTTGCAAGGATTCAATTCTGCTACTGCAGCATGAAAGCAGCCACATGGCCAGGTGCAGTGGCTCACGCCTGTAATCCCAGCACTTTGGGAGACTGAGGCGGGCAGATCACCTGAGGGCAGGAGTTTGAGACCAGCGTGGCCAATATGGTGAAACCCTGTCTCTACTAAAAACACAAAAGTTAGCTGGGTGTGGTGGTACATGCCTGCCTGTAATCCCAGCTACTTGGGAGGCTGAGGCAAGACAATCACTTGAACTCAGGAGGCGGAGGGTGCAGTGAGCTGAGATATCCCCACTGCACTCCAGCCTGGGCAACAGAGTGATACCCTGTCTCAAAAAAAAAAGAAAGAAAGAAAAGCAAAGCAAAGCAGCCACCACAGACATAGAAACAAATGGAGCCAGCTGTGACCCCAAGAAGCTTCACTTACAAAAACAGGCTCACAGCTAGATTTGGCCCATGGGCTGTAGTGACTCCTCGTTTTTGTTTTTTGTTTTTTTTTTTTGGAGACAGGGTCTCACTCTGTCACCCAGGCTGGAGTGCACTGACACAGTCTCGGCTCTCTGCAACCTCCACCTCCCAGGCTCAAGCGATCCTCTCACCTCAGCCGCCTGAGTGACTGGGACCACAGATGTGTGCCACCCTGCTCAGCTAATGTTTTTTGTATTTTTGGTAGAGACGAGGTTTTACTGTGTTGCCCAGGCTGGTCTTGAAGTCAAGCTCAAGTGATCCACCTACCTCGGCCTCCCAAAGTGCTGGGATTACTGGTGTGGCTGGCACCCAGCCAACTCTTGTTTTATTTTTATTTATGTATTTGAGACACAGTCTTGCCCTGTCACCCAGGCTGAAGTGCAGTGGCAATCTCGGCTTACTGCAACCTCTGCTTCCCGGGTTCACGCGATTCTCATGCCTCAACCTCCCAAGTAGCTGATTTTTATATTTTTACTAGAGACGAGGTTTCACCATGTTGGCCAGTCTAGACTTGAACTCCTGGCCTTAAGTGATCCGCCCACTTCTGCCTCCCAAAGTGCTGGGATTACAGGCGTGAGCCACCATGCACGGCCGACCCCTGTTTTAAAGGATGAGTTGAATCACGTCATTCCTCTATTTAAAAACTCTATTGTGTCTATCATAACCAGAGTAAAACCCAAGCCCCCTCCTCAGCCGACAGAGGCCTGGATTCCCTCCACTCTGCCCCGCCCTTCTTCCCATCCTTGGACATGCCAGGCTTGTGTCTACTTAGTGGCCTCTGCACTTGCTTTTCCTTTTGCTGAGACCATGTCCCCAGCTTTTCCCAGGCTCTTCCTCATCATTTAGGTCTCAATGCAAATGTCATACCTCCCAGAAGGCCTGCCGTGGCCAGTGTCCCCCCATTATTCCTTAATACTGAGCCCTAGTTTATATTTATCACCTTACCAATAGCTGACATTATCTTACAGATGTATTATGTATTTATTTGCCTCTCTTCCCCTTCTAGCTGCCACTAAGAGTGTAGGCTTGTTGAGAGCTGGATGAGCTTCAAACACAGCCCTGCTGGGTAGAAGATTCTCAATACATTGTCACTGACTCGTGGACTTTAAGCAACCTATCCAGTGTTTCTGGGCTCAGTTTGCTTATCTGCAAAATGGGGATTATCATACCTAATTATAAAGCTGCTGGGAATACTCCAAGCCTGGCACTTAATAAGGCTTCAATAAATGACGGCTCTATGGATTTCCGCTCTTATCGCCGTGGTTGGGAGGAAGTCCTGTCTGAATCTCTCTAACAGATGCGTGCTGTTTTCTCTCGTGGCCTGTTACCTCTCACAGCTGTCTCGGTGAACATCTCTGAGTGCCTCTCTGGGTCAGGCTGTGTCCAAGTCGTCTTATCTTCCCAACAACCCGATAACGCAGGTGGTAGCTACTCACAGCCAAGTTAAATTAGGCTCAAGGAGGTTCAGTGACTTCCTCCAGGGCCAGGACTTGAACCCAGAACTGGCCCCATGACCAGTGTTCCTTGCCCTGGCTGCTTGGTCCCCAGGAGCCTCCCAGACCCACTGCCGACTGACTTGGTGGTGGCTTCCCCTGCAAAGGTGGGAACAGGCAGGCTCTTCAGGCAGGTCCAGCCTGAGCCCCTTCCTGTATCTCTGTCGGGCCAGACTCAGAGCACAAAGCCTTCTGGTACCAAGTTCTGTGACTGAGGCCTCCACGGTCAGCCTCTCAATTGGTCCTCACCCCGACCCCTTTCGCGGAAGAGGAAATGGAAGTGGGCAGGGCTGCTGCGCTGGCCCCAGCTGTCCGTGACGATCCTCTACGGACAGGCCTCTGGATGGAGCCAGGCCCGGGCCTGGGCATGTGTGGGGAGAAGGGCTCTCACCCGATAGGCCGCCTTGAGGCCCCCGTTGTCGGCGATGTTCTCCCCCAGGGTGTGCCGCCCGTTCACCGGCTCCCCGTTCACACTGTAGTTGCTGTATTGCTCCACCATGCACTCGGTCTGACGCTTGAAGGCCTCCACTGATGAGTTCTTCCACCACGGCCGGAGGTTCCCGTCCTTGTCATACTCCCGTCCTGTGGGTCAGAGGGAGGCATCATGTCAAGGGAGGGAGTGGCAGAGCGGGGACCTGCTGCTCCTCCCCGCTCCCGGTGAGAAGCGGTTCAGTTTCCACCCTCATCCTCCAGCCAGCACTGGGAGAGGTCTCTGTGAGTACCGAGGGACGTAGATGGGGTGGCCGGTCAGAGGCAGGAGAGGATGGAGGAGGGGGATCCAGGGAAAGCCCCAGTGTGGCCCAAGGCTCAGCAGGGCTTGGTTTGTTTTTTTCTTCTTCTTCTTTTTTGTTTTTTATTTTTTGAGACAGAGTTTTGCTCTTGTTACCCAGGCTGGAGTGCAATGGCGCGATCTCGGCTCACCGCAACCTCCGCCTCCTGGGTTCAGGCAATTCTCCTGCCTCAGCCTCCTGAGTAGCTGGGATCACAG